CTGGAAGGCAGACCACCAGGACCAGGAAGTCCCAGAATGCTATGCTGGCCAGGAGGTAGTTCCAGGCAGACCTCATGTAGTAGTTGTTCCAAACCACACACATGACCGCCATGTTGGCCACCACGCCCACGGCCAGCACCAGGCCGGCCAGGAGCAGAACCACATAGGCCACGTAGGAGCTCTCCGCCAGCGGGGTAGAACGGGTTGAAGGGACTCTGGTCGTCGGGGTTGGAGGTGTTTGCCTGGAGGTTGACCTCGTCTCTGTGGCTCAGTTCCACCCTGGTTGTGTTGCTGAACTCTGTGAGTTGAGGCATCGTCACCCACTCGTTCTCAAAGGAGTGGCTGAAAGTGGACTGCTGCTCATCCTCGTCTGCACCGCGGACCCGGCGGTCCAGGCGGACCCGGCGGTCCAGGTCCAGGTCCACCATGTCGGGTACAGGGGGGCTGTGCTCAGGGTTTGCGGCATCGTCTGCAGCCTTTAACTGCGTCCCGCCCTTCAGGTGAAGAACCTCCAGCTGGACGCTGTCGGGGGATTGCTGGGCGTTGCTCTGTTGCTTGTCCTGTTGCTCAACAGTCTTTGCCTGAATGAACTGCAGCGGGAGGTAAAGACAGAGCAGAAACACAAATGATGGAGCCATGACCTCCAAGTTTAAAAAATCCACTTCCAACGAAAACCAGAACTTGAATTTAGTCTGTTTCTGGGAATCGAAGCCCAACAATCTGATGAACCAGGAGAATCCGAGACGCTTCTGAAACTCTGGATAAAATGATCAGCCTGAGTTTGGAAGTTACCAACTGTCTTCCTCCAAGATTGGTCCAATGAAAATATTCCGATCCCAGATGCAAAGGTTGAGAGCTGAAGTTGAGTTTTCCAAACTGAGCACAACTTGTGTCGTGTGTTTGGACATCCAGCCGAGAAGTTTCCTCCTCTCCAAACTGTCTCACTTCAGATGCTCCTGTCTGTGTTTCTCATCCATGGGAATCCAACCGGAGCTCCAGGAGGCGGTGGGCAGGGCGGCGAGCTCAGGTCCGGGTCCCGGTCTGGACTGGCTATCCTGGAGCTCTGAGGGTCTCTGGGAACAAGCAGCCCTCTGCTGCACGGCTGGATGGAGCTTTTGTCAGGACTGGCATACAAACAAGGCTGGCAGCCTCACAAATACACACATTTGCCTGCACAATCATGCATGCATCCTTTCTTTGGCTGGTTTGGCTCCCGCTTTCTCACACAGACACATTTAAAGACGCTCAGTTCTGCTGCCCCCTGGTGGACAAACGGAAACTAAACAATGTTTTTAAAGATGAACACAATTATTAAAACAAAGATTTCTGTTTTTGTGAGTTTTAGGGCCAGACTGAGTTTTTATAGTACAGTTAGAATAATAATAATGATGCAATAATTATTAAAATTAGTCAAACTAAAGTTATTATGTTTGGGCCAAAGAAATGCAGAACAATTGTTGAAAAAATTCAGAGTATAATATTTTTAAGTCATTATCAGCGATATCTGGGGAATAGCGACATGTAACCCCCTGGCCTGTAGGGGCAGCAGGAGCCTGGTTCTGTTTGCTCTGATCATTTAAAAGTTCTTCATGTGGAAATTTAGAATCAATAACCCGTCAGTTTTCTGACTAAAGATGAAAATGAACAAAATCATCATCTTTGGGATTGTTTCTCTTTCATTTTCCTGCTGTTTTCGTTGCATTTTTCTCTGTTTTTTGTGTTTTTTTCTGTGTTTTTTGTGTTTTTTGTGGTTTTTTTGTGATTTTTGTGGTTTTTCTGTGTTTTTTGTGTTTTTTTGTGTGTGTTTTTTGTGGTTTTTGTGTGTTTTTTGTGTTTTTTGTATTTTTTCTGTTTTTTTGTGGTTTTTGTGTTTTTTTTGTGTTTTTTCTGGTTTTTCTGTGTTTTTTGTGTTTTTTTCTGTATTTTTTGTGTTTTTTCTGTTTTTTGTGGTTTTTCTGTGTTTTTTTGTGTTTTTCTGTTTTTTGTGTTTTTTCTGTGTTTTTTGTGTTTTTTTTGTTTTTTTTGTGGTTTTTCTGTTTTTTGTGTTTTTTCTGTATTTTTTCTGTTTTTTGTGTTTTTTCTGTTTTTTGTGGTTTTTCTGTTTTTTGTGTTTTTTCTGTATTTTTTCTGTTTTTTGTGTTTTTTTCTGGTTTTTCTGTGTTTTTTGTGTTTTTTCTGTATTTTTTGTGTTTTTTCTTTTTTGTGGTTTTTTCTGTTTTTTTTTTTTTGTGGTTTTTCTGTTTTTTGTGTTTTTTCTGTTTTTTTTTGTGGTTTTTCAGTTTTTTGTGTTTTTTCTGTATTTTTTGTGTTTTTTCTGTTTTTTCTTTTTTTGTGGTTTTTCTGTTTTTTGTGTTTTTTCTGTATTTTTTGTGATTTTTCTGTTTTTGTGTTTTTTGTGTTTTTTCTGTTTTTTTGTGGTTTTTCTGTTTTTTGTGTTTTTTCTGTATTTTTTGTGTTTTTTGTGTTTTTTCTGTTTTTTGTGGTTTTTGTGGTTTTTTTGTGTTTTTTCTGGTTTTTCTGTGTTTTTTGTGTTTTTTCTGTATTTTTTGTGTTTTTTCTGTTTTTTGTGGTTTTCTGTTTTTTTTTTTGTGGTTTTTCTGTTTTTTGTGTTTTTTCTGTTTTTTGTGGTTTTTCAGTTTTTGTGTTTTTTCTGTATTTTTTGTGTTTTTTGTGTTTTTTTCTGTTTTTTTGTGGTTTTTCTGTTTTTTGTGTTTTTTCTGTATTTTTTGTGATTTTTCTGTTTTTTGTGTTTTTTCTGTTTTTTTTCTGTTTTTTGTGTTTTTTCTGTATTTTTTCTGTTTTTTTCTGTTTTTTTTGTGGTTTTTTCTGTTTTTTTGTGGTTTTTCTGTTTTTGTGTTTTTTCTGTATTTTTTGTGATTTTTCTGTTTTTGTGTTTTTTCTGTTTTTTTTTGTGGTTTTTCTGTTTTTTGTGTTTTCTGTATTTTTTCTGTTTTTGTGTTTTTTTCTGTATTTTTTCTGTTTTTTCTGTTTTTTTGTGTTTTTTGTGTTTTTTCTGTTTTTTGTGTGGTTTTTCTGTTTTTTGTGTTTTTCTGTTTTTTTGTGGTTTTTCTGTTTTTTTGTGGTTTTTCTGTTTTTTGTGTTTTTTTTGTTTTTTTGTGTTTTTTCTGTATTTTTTGTTGTTTTTTTTCTCTGTTTTTTTCTGCATGTTCCTGCTTTACCTGCAGTGTTTTCCCTTCAGCTGCAGGATTTCTGGAGAAACGCTGTTGGTGCCTCACAGGAAGTCTCACTCTCGCCATGCAGGAAGCTTTACGCCTCATAAGAAACAAACGAGTGCCTGGTCTGATTTTCCCATCGCCATGGAGACCAGCGTGCTCCCAGTCTGGACTCTCAGAAACCTTCAGAGGAACTGGAAGTCTGGGCGGATCGGTCCGGTCAGACGGATCATTAAACGGCTGCAACACAAATTATGATATTAAAAACAAGAAATGTCATTTGTTTAATTTCACAACAGAAAGTTCAACTTTTCCACTGCAGTAATTTGCTGAGTGCTGAAGCAGCGCTGATCTTTTCTCCCATCTCTGCTGTGAACCCATCAGGTTTTCACATCGTTTCATAACTTTCATAAACATTTCATGGAAACAGCAGCGACCGGACCAGTCTGCCCAGTATGGTTGGGCAGACTGGGCAGCCATGACCCGCCTCCCTGCTGCCCCCTGCAGGTCAGAGGGTTACATGTCACTGTTCCCAGCAGGCCTACTAATGTTGACCTCTGACCTGTGACCTCTGGATGAACGGTTTCTTCCTCTCTCAGGTCAGATACTGACTGCTCGAGTGTCTCCATGAACCTGGCGGCCATCTTGTGACTGAAAACGTCCCGATGATAAATTCTGCAGATGAAACTTCAGAAGCAGAGCGAGGATCATCTTCATCTTCCTCCTCTTCGACAGGAAGCAGGAAGTTGGTCGACAGAACTCGCCACACGCCCAATCTGCACGTCTGTTGGGGGAAATCTTCTTCTGTGGTTTTCTGTGTTCTGACAGAAAACTGTGGTTGACGATGAAAAGCCACAGACTTCCTGAAAACGACTGACAGGAACGCAGCGTCTCTTCTTCAGCAGTTCACATCGACTGAAGGTTCGGCCAGACAGCGCCTGGCCTCAGGGGTCAGAGGTCATCCTGACAGAAGGTGAACCTGGGATTGTTTAAACAGACGGTCCTCCCGGAGACCTGCAGGTTAACAAATGTTCCAGAAGTTATGGCGATGAATGATAACATTGTCTCCTGAGATCATTTTCAATAACATAATGATGGCACAGAAATGCATTCTCTCAAAAATCTTCTTTTTTCAAGCAAATATTAACACTGGAGCTGAAATACATTTTGAAAATGAACAAATTCACGTAAACTCAAATAAAATGAATCACAAAATCTCTGTAAACAAAATGATCCTTTTAAGAAGTGAGAGCATAGCTCCACCCTCTGGCATATTTAGGAAATGACGACCAAAAGTGGGCGGAGTCAGGATGCACGTGGGGGCGTGGTCAAGTTGGGCTGCAGCAGCAACTTTTCAACCACAGAGGGCAGCATAGAGACGGTTTGATGCAGAATTAACAATTTAACGTGGAATATGAAGATGGAGCAGCTTCTACTGCAAAACGTTTTAATATCTTCTCTGCAAATTAGCATGAAAACAAACAAACTGTCAGGTTAAATTATCAGAAACAAGAAGAATCGACGAGTGAATCTGACCATGTGACAGGCGTCAGTTTGACCTCAGAGTCTCTCCTGCCTGGTTTGGTTCTGGACTCCGGACCTGCTGATCCAGTCATTCCGCTGGATCCAACCTGAAGGTCATGCTGCTGCCACCACCGTGCTTCTGGCTGGGCCCGCTCCCACTCCTGAGGTTCCAGAGGTTTGATTGGTTCAGGTTGACCTTTGAACTTTGCTGTTCTTCCCTCTGTTGTCAGCATTCATCAACAAACCGAAACTTTGAGTTTAGTGAGGCTGACCTTGTTTTGGTTTTCGAGGCGGAGGGGGCGTGCATGTGCCAGCATGTGCACGTGCCCATGCTTGTGTGCGCGCGTGCCCGCGGGGCAGTTCGCTCCTGTTTGCCCTGCAGCGGCGGCTCAGTCTTGAAGTCGCCTGGCAGACTTATCAGCGCGGCGCGCACTTCCTGGTTCTGTTCGCCGGAGAGTCTTGACTTTCTCACCCAGGGAGGCAGCGAGCCGCCCCGCCGCGTGGAAGCGCCGCGTCCCGCACAGTCCACGCAGGACCCGGACCTGCTGCACACACTCTGCCCGGGAAAGTTTCTGGAAACCGGTTCGCGTTTTTGTTTTCATGCAGAACCCGGCAGCGGGTTCGAGGAGCAGCTGCTGAACCTTTGAGTCCAGCGGACCCGGGACCGGAGAGCCGGCAGGCCGGCGCAGGGAGCCCCATCTGCGGCTCCACCTGCAGGATCTCCCCGCTGCTGGAGGCGCCTGAAGCGGCTGCAGGATGTCAGACTCTGCGTCCAGCTTCCTCCACATCGGAGACATCGTGTCTCTGTACGCGGAGGGTTCGGTGAACGGCTTCATCAGCACGCTGGGGTGAGTCCAGCCTGCTGCTGCTGCTGATAATGATGATAATAATGATGATAACTTCAATGAAACACAAACTTAGTTTAATAAATAAACATTTTACAAACAATAAACAAACGTATCATTTAATATAAATGTCATAAACACATTAAAATAAAAAAGTAAGTTTAAAATAAGAAAAAGCTCAGAATAAAATAAACTAAAGTTGTTCAAAGATGATTATTGATGAGCTATCAGGATCAAATAGATCATTTTAAATCGTTTCTCTGAATCTGACGGGATTCTGGAGTTTTCTGCAGAATATTTTCATGTTTTGGGGATTTTCTGCCTCCCTGTGTGCTTTGAGTTTTCTGCGTCGAGGTTTTGTGGCGTTTCCAGATGTGGGTCCAGGTTCTATGAACACATGAAACCAGAAGAGGAAAAGAATCATACAGTCTCAGATTTTTACATTTTGAAGTTTTTGTCTCTAAACTTTCTAACTTGGAAACTTCTGAGTCTGTTGGCTTCAACTTTAAAGTCTTTCCCGTGATTCTCAGCTGGATATTGGTCTGGACTTTGACTAGGCCATTCTAACACATGACCCTGCTTTGACTTGAACCATCCCATAATATCTCTGACTGGTTGTCCTGCTGGAAGCTGACCTTTGACCCCAGGCTAAGCTCTTCTGCAGGTTTTCTCCATCATGATGCTGCCACCACCGTGCTTCTCACTAGTTCTGTTTCTGTTGGGGGATTTCCAGACGACTGACTGAACTGTGGCTCTGACGAACCTCGGCTGCAGTTACACCAGGGTCAAAGTTCAGACAGGCAGACGTCACAACAGACATGATTAGTTTTGTCTGTATTTTGCTGTTTTCTCCTGTCTGCTCGGTTTGGAGGCTCTAACTGAAAGTGAAGAAAGGAAGCAGAACTCATTTATGATGATGAGTTAATTTACTCAATGTAACGATGAAAACCTGACCAGAGCCTGACCAGTATTGATCGCGTATCGATGATCTGATTATTTAACAAAATCAGATTTTCATAGAAAATCAGACATGAGGATCTAAAACATGAAGCTGATCTGGATCCAGTCGGGCGCAGACCCGACAGTAACGTTGGGTCTGGACAGAGGCAGCCAAACCGGATCGCTGCCTGAGTCGTCGGGTCAGAACCGGTTCTTCTTACAAACTGTTGAAGGTAGAACTGGACCATCAGGAGCAAATAAAACTCTTTTCATTGCAAACCTACAGAACCAGAACAGAAACCCACTGAGGTTCTGCTGGACCGGGTCGCAGCCCGTCCAGGTCCAGACCCACTTCAGGTTTGTCAGAGGAAGTTCTGTGTGGCTCTTTGACAGTCGGGTCCAATTAGGGTTGAAACGTTGATGCAGGTCTGTGTGTGTGTGTGTGTCTGTCTGTGTGTGTGTGTGTGTGTGTGGTGTGTGTGTGTATCTCTGTGTGTGTGTGTTTATGCGTGTGTGTGTGTGTGTGTGTGTTTATGTGTGTGTGTGTGTGTGTGTGTTTATGTGTGTTTATGTGTGTGTGTGTGTTTATTGTGTGTGTGTGTGTGTGTGCGTGCGAGCGTGTGTGTGTCCATCCAGGTGGTTCTGGTTCTGACTCAGTCTGAAGTTTAGAACTTCTCTTGCTGATTCTCGTTGTCTCCCAACTGAAGGTCAACGATAATGTTGTGTGGTTACCATAGCAACAAAGGTCAGTGAAAGGTCATCATAATCTCTTCAATCAAATTAGCTTTGGACGTAAAACATCTCGGTGTTCAGAACGGAACCAAAAACCGGGCAGAACCGGACAATACAGAACCTGAACAGTTCACTGAATGGAACTAAATGAACAGTTCACTAGATGGAACTAAATGAACAGTTCACTGAATGGAACTAAATGAACAGTTCACTAGATGGAACTAAATGAACAGTTCACTGAATGGAACTAAATGAACAGTTCACTAGATGGAACTAAATGGACAGTTCACTGAATGGAACTAAATGAACAGTTCACTAGATGGAACTAAATGAACAGTTCACTGAATGGAACTAAATGAACAGTTCACTAGATGGAACTAAATGGACAGTTCACTAGATGGAACTAAATGAACAGTTCACTAGATGGAACTAAATGAACAGTTCACTGAATGGAACTAAATGAACAGTTCACTAGATGGAACTAAATGAACAGTTCACTGAATGGAACTAAATGAACAGTTCACTGAATGGAACTAAATGAACAGTTCACTAGATGGAACTAAATGAACAGTTCACTAGATGGAACTAAATGAACAGTTCACTAGATGGAACTAAATGGACAGTTCACTAGATGGAACTAAATGAACAGTTCACTAGATGGAACTAAATGAACAGTTCACTAGATGGAACTAAATGGACAGTTCACTAGATGGAACTAAATGAACAGTTCACTAGATGGAACTAAATGGACAGTTCACTAGATGGAACTAAATGGACAGTTCACTAGATGGAACTAAATGGACAGTTCACTAGATGGAACTAAATGAACAGTTCACTAGATGGAACTAAATGAACAGTTCACTAGATGGAACTAAATGGACAGTTCACTAGATGGAACTAAATGGACAGTTCACTAGATGGAACTAAATGAACAGTTCACTAGATGGAACTAAATGAACAGTTCACTAGATGGAACTAAATGAACAGTTCACTAGATGGAACTAAATGGACAGTTCACTAGATGGAACTAAATGAACAGTTCACTAGATGGAACTAAATGGACAGTTCACTAGATGGAACTAAATGGACAGTTCACTGAATGGAACTAAATGAACAGTTCACTAGATGGAACTAAATGGACAGTTCACTGGAAGGAACGGATCTTTGTATCTGAACTGTTAAGGACTGAACGGAACTGATTTCTGTGGCTAAATGACCTCTGACCCCTGTTGGGTTTTTTAAAAAGTAGCTAAAGCGATACGTACACATAGTATGTAGTGGAAGCTAATGCTAATGTGCTCAAACATTTATTTAATTTTGACATCATAATTAATATTTTCTATAACAATCTTAGATATTTTATCTACATTCATAAATATTTTCCATTTCTTCCACTATATTTCTTCTTTTGAATTAATTTATTGGGGCAGAAAACAGAACAGGCGTCACCTTCAAATTAAGAGCATGAATATCAACACTTAATAACTTCAAGAATTCTTAACAGTTAAAACTTCAACGTAAAAGTCCAATTTTAACTGAAAATTAGCACTTTATGTTAATTTTCCTGGAAATATTAATGTAGGGGAAGCTGTGCGCTAAACGTTTACAAAGTGCTAAATAGAAAAGTACATTAGCGGTAGCATGTTAGCGGCATGCTTTAATTAGGCCATGTTTCATTTGTTCCTCCGAAGAGTTTTTGCGGAGCCAGTGGTTTGTATTTTTGACAGTTGACAGACAGGAAAACCGGGAGACATGGGGCAAAGGTCACCAGGAGTTGACCCTGCGACGTCCGCGTCGAGGACTGAGGCCTCCAAGCGCTGGCCGTGCCGACCTCTGCGCCACCACAGCACGGCCCTAATTAGGCCATGTCTGATCGGATCTGGACATGAAAGCAGAATCGTTGTTTTTTCTGTTTGAGTTCCAGTGAAACGACTTCCTGGTGTCTCCGGTTGTCCTACCTGTCTGTTCTGCCTGTCAGCGTCTGCAGCACGACTGCAGCACGTCTGCAGCACGACTGCAGCACGTCTGCAGCAGGACTGCAGCACGACTGCAGCAGGACTGCAGCTCTTCCTCCACCCATCAAGTCAAACACGGATAAACGTGCAGAGATCCGGCTTTTTCTGTCCCACAGTGTTTCCTGTAGGTAAATGGGTTCAGAGCGGGATACTCGAACCGGGTCGACGGAGGGAAGATGGACCCGCTGCTTTCCATACAGTCAAATTGTGCCGAGCGGCTCAGAGCTTCCAGGAAGCAGCAGACGACCCGCCGTCGTTCCTGGTTCTGTAGGTTTGACCAACACAGCTCCGTTCATCAGGAGGGCGTTAAAACCTGCCGACGTTTAATATGAGTCATTAATTATGAGCTGATTTCTCCTCTACATTCTATCTGGAGCTGGGAATCCTGGATGTGAAACCAGAACCGTGCGAACAAGCCTTAACAAATTAGAAGCGGCTCAAGTTACACGTCAGTTTGTTTTTGATCCAAAGTGTCATTTATGAAGAAATGCAGCTTTTAGGGACTTTTGTGGTGAAGATCAGGAACAACATGCAGGTTCCTGCCAGATCCGCTCCGCCGTTCATGTGTGACGGAGTTGGGTTAGTTTCTGGATCCTGGTGATTAATTCTGCTGCGAATCAGAATGAAGAACGACTTCATGCTGCAGGACTGAGTCAACACACCTGAGGGAGAGTAAAAGGAGCAATCAGCCGGCGACGCACACCTGAAAACACCCAGAGACACACAAAGGAGCTGATTGGCTGCTCTTCAAGGAAAACAGTCTGAAAGGAAAGAGCTTTCAACTCGAAAAGACAAACAAAGGAAGAAGTGGAGGGAGAGTAATGATGCATAAAAGCTACAGCCGCCACGTTTTAAAGAAAAGCAGAACAAAAACAAAAAACTGCTCTGCAGTTTTCAGAAATGAGACCTGAATGTCTTGAGTGGAGGCTAATGGAGGTTAGCATCAGGAAGCGACCTCACAGCCTGGTACCAATTTACATCATCAATTTGCAGACTCCTGATTTGTTTATCGGGACATTAAAGCAGAATCGTTGTAACCTGTGAACCTGATGTTTGCAGGTTGTGGCTTTTTATTAGAACCTGGAAGTAAACATGGTGTCAGAGAAAACCACCGGTCATGTAAATCAAGACTCTGCTGCATGTTTAGAAAGAACAAAGATCCAACCTCAGACGACGAGTCTGAGACGGAAACATCTCAACAAAACCAAACCAAAACACAGAAGTGGAGCAACTTCACGGCTTTGGTGGTCAAAAAGCCCCCATGATGGTCGACCCGGTTCTACTGGAACCAGAACTTCTGCTCCACCTCCAGCTGCTGTGGCTCTGAATCAAACCAGCCTGTTCCCCTCCTGGCCTGTGGGGGCGCTGCACCAAGAACCACTGCAGGAAACGACACTAAAACCTCTGAAGACGCTGAGAGCAACTTCCTGTTTCACCAGATGAAACAAGATGGAGGCGTCAGTATTTAGTGATTTCTCTTTAGTCTTTGGCTGAAGACCAGGAGCCATTTTTGCTGCTAGCGCTAGGCTAACATGTTAGCTTTAGTTGTATTTACCCAGAATGCCTTGTGCTGTAGTTCACTTCCTGCTGTTGGCGCGGTCTCTGGTCCGCTTGGTGTTCACGTTCAAACTGAACCAAAGTTCACTTCAACCAAAATCAGACTGAGGTTTGTACAACTGGAGGTCAGAGGTCAATTAGAGTTCAGTCCTCACCAACTAAACATTGATGGCAAGAGAGCAGCAATATTCTCAGACAAGCAACTTCTGCTGAAACACATTAGTAGTTCCTTAATGCAACATGCTAGCAGCTCTGGATTAATGCCTACAACCGCATAGCCTGTCAGCTAACGGCCTCATATGACGGCTGTTAGCTAACGACCTCGTAGCCTGTCAGCTAATGACCTCGTAGCCTGTCAGCTAACGACCTCGTAGCCTGTCAGCTAACGGCCTCATATGATGGCTGTTAGCTAACGACCTCGTAGCCTGTCAGCTAACGGCCTCATATGACGGCTGTTAGCTAACGACCTCGTAGCCTGTCAGCTAACGACCTCGTAGCCTGTCAGCTAACGGCCTCATATGACAGCTGTTAGCTAACGACCTCGTAGCCTGTCAGCTAACGGCCTCGTAGCACGGCTGTTAGCTAACGGCCTCGTAGCACGGCTGTCAGCTAACGGCCTCGTAGCACGGCGGCCGTTCCTGAAGAGGAAACGCTCCTCAGAGTGATGAAGTCATGTGTGTCCATCTGTAAAGAGCAGCTCTGCTTTGTCCTAAACAGTGAGGTTGATGGTTGATGAGGACACACACACACACACACACACACACACACACACACACACACACTGACACGCTCTGACTAGTTCAGTAAAACCAGCAGCTCCTTAAATAGAAATAAACTCTGAAACATAAAAATGAAAATAGGTTGAACTCTATATTTGGTCCTGAACCTGAAGAACCGATCAGAACCTGAGCGAAACCCAACATGGCTCCATAATTTCAGCATTTCTAACCGCAGGCGGGATCATCATGTTCTCTGTCATCTTTACTGGAGATAATGGAGCCTGTCAGGATGAGAAACGTCCTTATTACCATCATGGCTCTTATGATGGTTGTGACTGAATGTCTGGTTGTGATTCTGCATGAAAGTCTTGAAAACATGAATATATATTCATGAAATGTGACTGATTGTGTCTGGTGTGCAGCTGCAGCTCGTCTGATAACCAGGAAGTTTTATTTTTAGAACAGTTGTTGTCTTCCGTCAACACATTTACCACCAAAACCATTGAGATGAGCCTTTAAATGATCTCCATTATTAGTAGTAGTACTATCTAAATTACTATAAATATTACAAAATATTAAGATACATTTTTAAATATGTATGTTTCATTTTTATTTTTAACCCAAAAAGGCAAAAGTTCAACATCAGGCAGTTTCATCAGTTTAGTTCAGTTTTATTCTATATTCTATCAATAGCTGAGACTTTGTCCTCTTTATGAAGCTCAGCCAAGCGATTCGCATCAGGAACTGAAACACGTCTCCAGAAAGCAAACAGTCCTCAGGTTGGGTCTGCATCCCCCTTTATTACAGAGTAATAACCAGTAATAACCAGTAATAACCAGTAACGGCTGTCGGATGTGAAGCGTTTTGTGTCATGAGTTAAAACCCGAGCCTATAAATAGATGAGCTTCCTGTGTGCAGACGGCCGTCCTGCAGCTTTCAGCTTTCATTTCATTTACGAGTCACATCCGGTTCTCCTGCGCCGCACCGTCATCCTCCTGCATCTCGCTGCCGATTGGCTGGAAACCGAGGGGGACGGCGGCCATTTTTAACATCTGTCTGTCACTCGGGTTTAATTCAGATGTTTTATTTAACAGTTGGACGTCCAGCCAATAGATCGGGATGTTTTGGTTATTTATCTGAGAATGATTATTAGTTCTTTGAGGTTCAGACTGGAATCACGATTCATGAACAAGAATATCACGATAACTTTATCATCAAAAACATCATCAGTTTATCACCTTTATTTATTTGGGTCGACAGATATTTCTGTTTCCAGAATCTTTTATCTATTTTAAATTTCATTTTTAATCTGACAGAGAATCAGTGGAGGGAGCTGAAGATTAGGGTGATGGTAAGGAGGCCTTCCATCCACCACCAGAGCGAAACAACGTGAATAAAGCAGATCTGTTATTTAGAGTTGGTTGTTATTTTTCTGTTCCCAGTTTCAGCCCAGTTAGTGAAACCAGAATATCACTGGATGACAGGAGAGAAAAGGTTTCTATCTCCACATTCCTCAGAACTGACTTAGTTTGGAGTTTTAGTTTTTCTAAGATCATAACATTTATTCATAATTCTGGGTTAAATTGACCAACTTTTATTTTTGTTGCACCTCTTTGGTTTTCTGAAAGCTGTTTGCAGGTTGCTGGTTGCTGGTCTGTGTTGCTGGTTGCTGGTCTGTGTTGCAGGTTGTTGGTTGCAGGTCTGTGTTGCTGGTTGCAGGTCTGTGTTGCAGGTTGCTGGTTGCAGGTTGTTGGTTGCAGGTCTGTGTTGCAGGTTGCTGGTCTGTGTTGCTGGTTGCAGGTCTGTGTTGCAGGTTGCTGGTTGCAAGTTCGTGTTGCAGGTTGCAGGTTGCTGGTCTGTGTTGCAGGTTGCTGGTTGCTGGTCTGTGTTGCTGGTTGCTGGTCTGTGTTGCAGGTTGCTGGTTGCAGGTCTGTGTTGCAGGTTGCTGGTTGCAGGTCTGTGTTGCTGGTTGCTGGTCTGTGTTGCAGATTGCTGGTCTGTGTTGCAGGTTGCTGGTCTGTGTTGCAGGTTGCTGGTTGCAGGTTTGTGTTGCTGGTTGCAGGTCTGTGTTGCTGGTTGCTGGTCTGTGTTGCAGGTTGCTGGTTGCAGGTTTGTGTTGCTGGTTGCTGGTCTGTGTTGCAGATTGCTGGTCTGTGTTGCAGGTTGCTGGTCTGTGTTGCAGGTTGCTGGTTGCAGGTTTGTGTTGCTGGTTGCAGGTCTGTGTTGCTGGTTGCTGGTCTGTGTTGCAGGTTGCTGGTTGCAGGTTTGTGTTGCTGGTTGCTGGTCTGTGTTGCAGGTTGCTGGTTGCAGGTTTGTGTTGCTGGTTGCAGGTCTGTGTTGCAGGTTGCTGGTTGCAGGTTTGTGTTGCTGGTTGCTGGTCTGTGTTGCAGGTTGCTGGTTGCAGGTTTGTGTTGCTGGTTGCTGGTCTGTGTTGCAGGTTGCTGGTCTGTGTTGCAGGTTGCTGGTTGCAGGTTTGTGTTGCTGGTTGCTGGTCTGTGTTGCAGGTTGCTGGTTGCAGGTTTGTGTTGCTGGTTGCTGGTCTGTGTTGCAGGTTGCTGGTCTGTGTTGCAGGTTGCTGGTCTGTGTTGCAGGTTGCTGGTTGCAGGTTTGTGTTGCTGGTTGCTGGTCTGTGTTGCAGGTTGCTGGTTGCAGGTTTGTGTTGCTGGTTGCTGGTCTGTGTTGCAGGTTGCTGGTCTGTGTTGCAGGTTGCTGGTTGCTGGTCTGTGTTGCAGGTTGCAGGTTGCTGGTCTGTGTTGCAGGTTGCTGGTTGCTGGTCTGTGTTGCAGGTTGCTGGTCTGTGTTGCAGGTTGCTGGTCTGTGTTGCAGGTTGCTGGTCTGTGTTGCAGGTTGCTGGTCTGTGTTGCAGGTTGCTGGTTGCAGGTTTGTGTTGCTGCAGGTTGTTGAATGTTTCTGTCTCTCTGCAGGTTGGTGGACGATCGCTGCGTCGTGGAACCGGCTGCTGGTGATCTGGAGAACCCGCCCAAAAAGTTCAGAGGTGACGCTTCCTGTCTGCAGGCCTGAGGGCGGGGCGCTGGTTACCATGACAACGGCCAGTTAGCAGATTGTCTACGTTTTTTCAAACGTAGAGGACGGGTCGTCGGTTTGATTCCCAGTCGTTTCCTGAACGTCTTCCTCTCTGCAAAACAGATGATTTAATCAGTTTCACCTTCTGCTTCCATCTTTGTTGACACTGTAAAACATTTTGGTAAAGTTTAGTTATGAATCAGTCTTTGTCAGAGACAGGAAACCATTAAAGGCAGCAGGAAAAACCTTCATTCAACAAACACTGCAAATAAATCCAGGATAATGTGATTCAGAGTTCAAAGAATCAGATTAAATCATCAATACGTATAATTAGTTATTTAAAAAATGAAAAGTTTCAGAATAAAATGTGTCGTTTATGAGATTTTAATGAAACTGATTTATTCTGCTTGGTTCAGTTTATTCAGCTGGAATATAAAACATAATTTTATAGTGAATGGGTCTGAACCAGTTTGAGGAGCTGTGAACCGGTACCAGGCTGTTCCTGGGTCAGAACCAGCAGGAAGCCATTAAAGCTGCATGTGGAACAGAAATAAGGCCTTTAGAGCGAGTCCAGCTCCGCTCCGCAGGGAGCCGCAGCAACACCAAGCTTCCAGCAGCTTCTCTCTGCTGACCGCTGCCAGGCCCCGGCCCGGCCCGGCCCGGCCCGGCCCGGCTGGTTCCGAGGGGCCGGTCCATCTGGTCGCCGGGACCCGGGGGGCGCGATCCAGTTTAGAAGTGGATCAGAGACACAGACTGACGGCTCAAACTTTAGAGTTTCTGATTAAACTTCCCGACCCATTTCCACTGGTTCTGTCAGGAGGAACGCAGAAAAATCCAGAAAAACCTTCAGGAAGAAAACCCAGAACATCGAGAATAGAAATGTTCATTTGTGTCCCGCTGTGAGGAGATTCAGGTCAAGGTCAGCAGAAGCAGCAGATTGAAAGGAAATAATGAAACAGTAAAATAAGAAACGGCAACATGGAGACATAAACTACATCGAAAAATAATTCAAATAGCACTGTTTGAAATAAATGTGCAGCTCAAAATGAAAATGTGCATAAAAAACAGCTGAAGTGAAAAAACTGAAAATAAAATATAATTTAATCCCAACTGACAAAAAGCATAAAAAGTTTTGATTCATTTCATGTCAAACAGAGGAAGAAATGCTGAATTTACATACATGTAGCAAAGATATTAGTTCATTTAACTTGAATTAACTAATTAGAAGGATTTCAACTTTGGAAACTGTTAACCAGTAGGAACCTTTGCATGCCAGTGTTTCTGGTATACCAGTATATCTGACGCACACAAAGCTACATCTGCTAACAGCAGCGATGGAAGCAGCTACTCTGGTTCATTTCTGCTTCAACGCTGGTAATGTGCCCAACTTGTGCTAAAAGGACTTAGCCTATCAGCGATGCTAGCCTAAAATAGCATCTCCTGCTAAACATTTAGCAGCTAATGCTAATGTTAGCACAGAGTGGATTTCTAAAGAAGCTGCAGGAATGGTTAGAACATGCAAAAATGATTAAAAAAATCAAGTCCTACTACAACAAAAATAATAAAGTAGGGATTTGAAATTCATTTCTTGTGCTATCCATAATAAATAAATGTATTTTTAATTATTTATTTTGTAATAAAATCTGTAATCTGGTTTTAGATGCATTTTAATATCTTGTAGACAATGTTAAAACGGAGCTGTGTGGCTCCATTAGGACCAAAGCAATGACTCTTAACATTAAACACACACACACACACACACACACACACACACACACACACACACACACCACACACACACACACAGATATCTGCTGTTTGACAAACACACACAGTGGAAGCAGGAAACACCCAGGATCCTGCAGGAGAGTCAATATTGACACAGTTCTTTTCACACAACGGCTCCGGATCTCGGTTCAGAGTCCCAGTCCAGACTGAGACGGGTTCTGGAACCAGGACGGGTCCAGAAGACAGAGGAGGAGATCGGGAGTGGCTGGAGGGCCGGGTTGCAGCACAGAGAAATGAAAACAAAGCGTCTGCTGGCGGGTTTCCAGCTGAGCCTTCAGGCTCTGATCACATTTCTGTGGAAAACTTCAGAGCTGCGTGTCGAGTCCTGCCAGCACTCCCAACACCAGTCCTGGGCCTTGAACGCTTCGCAGCCTGAACACAATGTGACCTGAACGCAACACACCCTGAACGCATCGTGACCTGAACCCATCACACCCTGAACGCATCACACCCTGAACGCATCACACCCTGAACGCAACACGACCTGTACGCAACACGACCTGAACGCATCACACCCTTAATGCATCACACCCTGAATGCAACACGACCTGAACGCAACACACCCTGAACACCCTGAACACGCATGAACGCATCGTGACCTGAACGCATCACCCCCTGAACACATCACACCCTGAACGCATCGTGACCTGAACGCATCACACCCTGAACGCATCGTGACCTGAACGCAACACCCCTGAACACACACCCTGAACGCATCACCTGAACGCAACACACCCTTAACGCAACACCTTACAACACACCTGAACGCAACACACCCTTAATGCAACACACCCTGAATGCAACACACCCTGCAACGCACACACCCTGAACGCAACACACTGAAGCAGCGCGACCTGAATGCAGGGAAATAACAAAGAGGAAAATTCCCACCAAAAAACTTTTAGATTAATTTAACTTGTTTACAAGATTAAAACTTTTATTCCAGAAATAATAATATCATAATATGAATTTTCTCATTAAAACTGATATCATCTTTATTGTGTGAGGTTCTGGGTTCGGTACTTTTTCTGTTCATCAGACAGTTTCTCAAAGTCCAAACAGAGTTCTAGACCCGGTTCTGTTGTTTTCCAGACTGCCTGTTCAAGGTGTGTCCGATGAGCCGGTACTCGGCCCGAAGCAGTACTGGAAGGCCAAGCAGGCCAAGCATGAGAAGGACAAGATCGGCGACGTGGTTCTGCTGCAGAAGCTGCAGGTTAGCGGACTGGACAGGCGGAGGAGGAGGTTCTGCTGGTCTGGTTCTGATCTGGTTCTGTTCTGGGTCTGCAGCACGCATCCAACCTGGAGCAGAAGCAGAATGAGACGGAGAACAGGAAGGTCCATGGAGACATCGTCAAATACGGAACCGTCATCCAGGTAACCGGCGTTTCCTGCTTCCTCTGAGGCTCAGCGAACACAGCATGGTTGGACCCGGTTCTGGTTCTGCAGCAGAACCCTGCAGAGCTTCTCTTCATGATCTTCATCATCAGAACATCTGAATGATCGCTAACAGAAAGCATTTCAGTCAATCTGTCCGGATCCGGACCAGATCCGGACAGACTGATCCGGTGGTTCCGGTTCTGCTTCCTGGGTCGGTTCCACTCAGCCGGAATGTGATCCATAAGTATTGACATCTAATGACGGATCAATACATCCAAACTGCCTCTGCAGAACTTTTGGTTCCTGTAAATCAGGGCAGCTTCCCCACAGAGGTCAAAGTTCATGTTTGTCTAAGTTTAATGTGGTCGTGTGGAGCAGCTCTGATCGATTTCTAATCAATATCCTACCTGTAGTCAGTTTGGAGAATCGGTCGTCATGGCGATGACGAGTCAACATGAATGACTTTTACTTTTTACTGGCCGCTCCCTGTTTCCATGACGACCAGGTGATCCACCACCGTTTCCCGACATCAAAAAGCCGAACCGGGTCAGTAACCATGGTTACAGAGCCGCAGTCCAGACCAGCAGGTCCAGGAGATCCAGATCCTTGCAGGGTATAGATGACCTGTTAATCTGTCAGGTCCAGATTATCAGTTAATCTGTCAGGTCCAGATTATCAGTTAATCTGTCAGGTCCAGATTATCAGTTAATCTGTCAGGTCCAGATTATCAGTTAATCTATCAGGTCCAGATTATCAGTTAATCTATCAGGTCCAGATTATCAGTTAATCTATCAGGTCCAGATTATCAGTTAATCTATCAGGTCCAGATTATCAATTATCTATCAAGTCCAGATTATCAATTAATCTATCAGGTCCAGATTATCAGTTAATCTATCAGGTCCAGATTATCAATTAATCTATCAGGTCCAGATTATCAATTAATCTATCAGGTCCAGATTATCAGTTAATCTATCAGGTCCAGATTATCAGTTAATCTGTCAGGTCCAGATTATCAGTTAATCTATCAGGTCCAGATTATCAGTTAATCTATCAGGTCCAGATTATCAGTTAATCTATCAGGTCCAGATTATCAGTTAATCTATCAGGTCCAGATTATCAATTAATCTATCAAGTCCAGATTATCAGTTAATCTGTCAGGTCCAGATTATCAGTTAATCTGTCAGGTCCAGATTATCAGTTAATCTATCAGGTCCAGATTATCAGTTAATCTGTCAGGTCCAGATTATCAGTTTCTATCAGGTCCAGATTATCAGTTAATCTGTCAGGTCCAGATTATCAGTTAATCTATCAGGTCCAGATTATCAGTTAATCTATCAGGTCCAGATTATCAGTTAATCTGTCAGGTCCAGATTATCAGTTAATCTGTCAGGTCCAGATTATCAGTTAATCTATCAGGTCCAGATTATCAGTTAATCTGTCAGGTCCAGATTATCAGTTAATCTATCAGGTCCAGATTATCAGTTAATCTATCAAGTCCAGATTATCAGTTAATCTGTCAGGTCCAGATTATCAGTTATTCTGTCAGGTCCAGATTATCAGTTAATCTATCAGGTCCAGATATCAGTTAATCTATCAGGTCCAGATTATCAGTTAATCTGTCAGGTCCAGATTATCAGTTAATCTGTCAGGTCCAGATTATCAGTTTAATCTGTCAGGTCCAGATTATCAGTTAATCTATCAGGTCCAGATTATCAGTTAATCTGTCAGGTCCAGATTATCAGTTGATCTATCAGGTCCAGATTATCAGTTTGATCTGTCAGGTCCAGATTATCAGTTGATCTGTCAGGTCCAGATTATCAGTTAATCTATCAGGTCAGATTATCAGTTAATCTGTCAGGTCCAGATTATCAGTTAATCTGTCAGGTCCAGATTATCAGTTAATCTGTCAGGTCCAGATTATCAGTTTAATCTGTCAGGTCCAGATTATCAGTTAATCTATCAGGTCCAGATTATCAGTTAATCTGTCAGGTCCAGATTATCAATTAATCTATCAGGTCCAGATTATCAGTTAATCTGTCAGGTCCAGATTATCAGTTAATCTGTCAGGTCCAGATTATCAGTTAATCTGTCAGGGTCCAGATTATCAGTTAATCTATCAGGTCCAGATTATCAGTTAATCTGTCAGGTCCAGATTATCAGTTAATCTGTCAGGTCCAGATTATCAGTTAATCTGTCAGGTCCAGATTATCAGTTAATCTGTCAGGTCCAGATTATCAGTTAATCTGTCAGGTCCAGATTATCAGTTGATCTGTCAGGTCCAGATATCAGTTAATCTGTCAGGTCCAGATTATCAGTTAATCTATCAGGTCCAGATTATCAGTTAATCTGTCAGGTCCAGATTATCATTGATCTGTCAGGTCCAGATTATCAGTTGATCTGTCAGGTCCAGATTATCAGTTGATCTGTTCAGGTCCAGATTATCAGTTGATCTGTCAGGTCCAGATTATCAGTTGATCTGTCAGGTCCAGATTATCAGTTGATCTGGGCCGATCAGAGGTTATCACAGCAGCAGGAATCTCTCCCAGCCGCCGTCTCTCATCTGGATTAGTTTATGGCCCTGAAGCCCAGTCAATATTGACTCTGCGATAACGGCGTGTCAACACACACTGCAGGGTGTGTGAGAGAGATGAAGGAGTGGAGGAGTTACTAGAACAATTTTCCTATAGAGCTTTAAACTGGGCGGTTATTATGGGATGGAGAACCAGTTGAGACTGGAGCTGAGATTAACGATCAGATCGCTCCGGATTAAAGAGGCAGGAAGATTAAATAAACCGAGATGACAAAAGTACCAGAAGGGCTAATTAGGGGGCGGATGCAGCTGGGAGCAGAACGGTGGTTTTAACCCCCAACAAAAAAACAGAGGAAAAAACCTGAACTGTGAGCAGAAACATGAAGGGTTAGGGGTTAAGAGTTAAGTTTAGGGGTAGGGGTTAGGGGTAAAGGTTAGGGGTTAGGGTTAGGGGTAAAGGTTAGGGTAGGGGTAGGGTAACAGCACTGACTGACCCTTCTGCCTTGGTTGGACCAGGAGTGGAGGGGTTGGGATGTGATGCGTTCACTTCATGATTATCATTTTTATTGTTTAAGTTCAGATTCTTATTAATTATGACGCTTTTCTCACATTAATGACAGATAAACAGACATCAGCGTTCAGACGCTTTGAAAACAATCTGAGACGATTTAGTTTTGGAAGTGGAAAGACGTTTGGATGAAAACATCGGAAGTACAACGTCGGATAGTCATCATAATTTCCTGCCGTGTGAACACAGCTTTTCTCTCTCCACATGTGCATTGCAGCTTCTTCCACATGAAGAGTAATAAATCTGACGGTGAACAAGCGTCTGCCGCTGCTGGAGAGAACGCCATGCGCGTCACGCTGGACGGGACGGGGAACGAGGGATCCTGGTCTTCATCCAACCATTCTGGAAACTCCGGGCCAACGGAGACAACGTAACAAAATACATGACCCCCACATGACCTCCACATGACCTCCACATGACCCCACATGTCCCCCACATGACCTCCACAACCCCCACATGACCCCCACATGACCTTCACATGACCCCCAATGCCCCCACATGACCTCCACATGACCCCCACATGACCTTCACATGACCCCCACATGACCTCCACATGACCCCCACATGACCCCCACATGACCTCCACATGACCTTCCTGTGACCTTCAGATTCACTAAATATTAACAACAAAATATTCTCAGAAATGGACAAATGAATAAAATGTACCAAAAGTTATTTCAGTTGAACAAAATTTAAAAGATATTTCAGAAAATTGATTCATTAAAACTGTCATAATGCATAAAGTGAACATAAATTTAATTTAGCAAAATGTTATTAAAAACTGCATTTGTTAGTACATCAACTTTCTAAACAGACACATTGAACTTTTATTTAACTTTTACTGACTGTTCAAAATATTTTAATATTTACCATAAAAATTAAATGTTAGATATCTAAACATTATGAAAAGTTTTTTTATTTGTACAGCATCACATTTAACATTTATTTTATTTATTTACTTTAAAGATCATAGATTTTAATTTAATTTCACTTTTTTATGCATGAGTCTCTTAATTGAGCTTTTTTCAATTTCAGCTATAAAACTAATTTTATGTGATTTTAGGTTAATATATCTTCCTTTTCAGCTGATCCGAGCAGAAGTTGAACGATGTTCAGAAATCAGAACATTTTAAGCAGAGTCCGATTAATGTGCCGTTTGTGCTGCAGGTGGTTGTGGGAGATAAAGTCATCATGAACCCGGTGAACGCCGGCCAGCCGCTTCACGCCTCCAACTACGAGCTCAGCGACCATCCAGGCTGCAAGGAGGTGAGACGACAGGAAGACGGAAAATCAGAAAAATAAACAAAAACAGAAAATATGAGAAACGGTCTGAGACTCCGACCGGACCCAAACCAAACCAAGCAACAAAAAAACACTTAAATTATGGCAAAAGAGACTAAATGAGTCCAATAAAGAGACAAACAGAAGCTAAATGTCTAAAGGAGATTTAAAAATAAGCATAAACATAAAGTCATGACAAAAACATCATTTCCTGCTGCAGACTCTGACGTGTCTTCCTCCCCCTGCAGGTCAACTCTGTGAACTGCAACACGAGCTGGAAGATCAACCTGTTCATGATGTTCAGCGACCACCGAGAGGAAGTCCTGAAAGGAGTGAGTCAGACCGGGTCAGCTCAGCTGCCTGCAGAAATGAACCCTGGGAAACGTAGTTCTAACCCCGGCTGTCTCCAGGGCGACGTCGTCCGACTGTTTCACGCCGAGCAGGAAAAGTTTCTGACCTGCGACGAATACAAGAGCAAGCTGCACGTTTTCCTGCGGACGACTCTGAGGCAGTCGGCCACGTCGGCTACCAGCTCCAACGCCCTGTGGGAGGTCGAGGTACACACACACACACACACACACATGGACACACACACACACACACACACACACACATGGACACACACACACACACACACACATGGACACACACACATGGACACACACACACACACATGGACACACACACACACACACACACATGGACACACACATGGACACACACACACACACACACACACGGACACACACACACACACACATGGACACACATGGACACACACACACACACACATGGACACACACACACACACACATGGACACACACACACACACATGGACACACACACACAGACACACACACACATGGACACACACACACACACACATGGACACACACATGGACACACACACACACACACACAGACACACACACGGACACACACACATGGACACACACACACATGGACACACATGGACACACACACACACACACACATGGACACACATGGACACACACACACACATGCTGGTATTTCTACATAAATGAAGACTTTCCAGGGACAAAAATCATTTTATTTACTGAATTTCTTTTTGACCGCTACTGGTCAAAGCTGACCCTAAACCTGACCTTTAACCCAAACACTGCAGCAGGACCTTCATTGGTCCCCATAAGGTTAGTAAATACGACAGAAACAGCTGAACACACAGAGGAGAAGATGAAAAAATAAAATATACAATGTTCTTTTGTGATTTTATTTCATAAAAACAAAAAAATAAAATGATTAAAAATCACAGTTTGATTTTGCTGTTTGGAGGAGAATCTGCTTTGAGGTAGCAGAGAGTCGGCGGTGACAGGTTGACTAAAGATGGAGAAAATTTACAGCAACAAGAAGTAAAGACACCCTCTGACTCTCCTTTCACCTCTCTGTGTCCTGATTGGTCCGTCAGGTCGTCCACCATGACCCCTGCCGCGGGGGGCGGGGCATTGGAACAGCCTGTACAGGTTCAAACACCTGGCGACAGGAAACTACCTGGCTGCCGAGGTAACCACCATGCTCCTGTTTCCGTCTTCTGTCTGCAGCTTGTCTGGATCAAATTTAATTCACTTTATTTTCGAAACAGATACTTTAATGGCAATAATGATGTTATGAATAAATTCAGCTGATAAAAATCAATATTTAATATTATTTTTCTTTGATTTGTAGAAAGATTTTGACACAATTAATTGTAATATTCTGCTAAAAAAAGATTACATTGCTGGGATTTAACTAGGTCAGTATTTTTCAATCTGTTAGAGGAGTCCCACAGGGGCGACCCAAGACTTTTGCACAGCAGCAGGTGTTTTACTCCTCAATGCTGCTGGATGGATAAACCTTGGACATCACTGTTGTTGTTGCAGGAGAACCCGGGGTACAAAGGGGACAACCCTGAGCTGTCATCCTCGGTGAGTTTCCTCTCCTCACCACTAGGGGGCGAAGGAGAGGGAAACAGACACGGTGAGGTTTGTGTTTCTGCAGATGGACGCCAGCCGCAGCAGCAAGCGTTTCCATGGCGAACGGATCAAGTACAAGCTGATGGTGGTTCCCCACGGCAACGACATCGCCTCGCTGTTCGAACTCGACCCGACGACCCTGCAGAAAACCGACTCCTTCGTCCCGCGGTGAGGAACTTCCTGCTGCCATTTCACAATAAAAGTCCAGACATGTTTCAAATTAAAGCTGAATTTATCCTTGTTGGAAAAAAAATTCAGCTTCACTTCAACTGTTTGTTGAACAAATCTGATCTGAAGGCAAAAAGCACCAATTAACATCCCAGTTTCCCATCAGGTGATCATGCAGAACACATATGGAGGGCTATTCCTGACAACATTCTATGCAACAATAAATAAATGTGCCAAATATTAACAAATCAAGAATCTCCTCAGTTTACTCACTCTATATAATCTGTAAATAAAGTGACAAACAAGAATACATTAAATCAATGAATGATTAAAAAAGTGCTAACAAATTAAAGATCAGCTAAATAAGTACTGGACATGGGGAAACAATGTGGCAGTAAATGAAAATGATTAAATGAATTCAGAATATGAATAAAATTTGAAAAAAATAAATCACAAAATGAAAATGGAAATTATTAAAACTATAAGATTGAAAAATAAAATGAAAAATTAAAGTGATACTGTGAAATCAACACCGTTGAAAATTATACACTTTTTGGATAGACTATTTAGAATATTAGTTAATTATTTATTTCCATATGTATTGTCAGTTTTGGCAGAAAACCTTTATGTCCCAGTAAATGTGGGCAGTCAGCTCCACCACGTTCTGAGCGTAAAGCTAAATGTCTCCACCAAGTGGTCAGAGGTGTGAACTGCAATCTGTCAAAACAACATAAATGTGACAGATTATTCTGTCACATTTAAGATCCA